CTGAGAGGTAGACTTAAATTTCCTAAGTGACTCCTATCACTCATTCCCATAGTAGCTTGTCGTGTGAGGAAGTTAAAGTCCTAGTAATCAAATCCAGCATTTACATTTTATTTTGCCTTTACATTTTCATTTGTTTGCACTCAATAGAATTTAATTTTCCAAGACATTTACATCTACATTGCCACAACATCTTCATTTTCTACCATATAACCATCACTCCATTTCCACAACATCCATTTCATTTTGCCACAACATTCTTATATGTACATACCATCACTAACTTTACTTAGGTGGCATAATAAAGTGCTTTGATTAAAATTTTGCATTTCCTCCAATCCCTGTGGATATGATACTCACTCATCACTGTATTACTTGTTCGATTGTGTATACTTGCACATATTTCTGCAACCATATATAGTAGTCACAATCAGCGGACAAGTTTTTGGCGCCGTTGTCGGGGATTGGCAACTGGAAGTTAATTAGTTTTGTCATAGCATGTGTATTTTACTTGTTTAATTTTTTGTATATAGTTTTACTTTTTATTTTCCTTATCTTTTTTAGGTTTTTTCGGTGTATGACCAAAAGACACTCTAACGAACTGTTAGAATAGTTAATTAGTTTTTTATACAAACGCCACTAAATACATAATCAATACCGGCGTTTTTGAAAAAATGTCACTAAAGTTTTAGATCATTTGCGGCAATTATACAAAAAAGCCACTATAGAATAGTCAATAACGACGTTTTACTTTACAAAATCCGCTATATGTCATGACATTTATCGACGTTTTTGGGAACAAATACAACTATATGTGGGAACAAATACAACTATATGTCATAACATTTAGTGGTGGTTTTTTACAAATGCCACAAAAGGAAAAGATATGTAGCGGCGTTTCTTAACAACTCCGCTAAATGTCATAATATTTAGTGGCGTTTATGAAAGAAACGCCACTATAACTCATAATCTTTAACGACGTTTGTAAACGAAAACTCCGCTACCTTTTGCGGCGTTGGTTTCAGCGGAGCATTTGACGACGTTTTTTCGCCACAAATATTTTTAGCGGCGCTTAAAAACGCCTTTGTATGACTAAAAATGCCGCTAAAAATCTATTTTGCTATAGTGTATTGAGCATAATAGAGGGATTAAAACCATAATTTGATCATGTAAGATAAAAGGAAACAGTCCAATCCATGGAGTTTTGTGATGTAATTGAAAGAACCATGGGTAGACAATAACATAATATAAGTAATATGAATTGAGAGATAAACAATGTTTGATTCTATGACAAAAGAGTTTCTCACTTCTCATAGGAACGAAAGGTCATTCGTCGCAAACTGTTGCACGTTCACAAACATGTCTCCAACCTCGGTGTTTGAATTCACTTTATTCTATCCATAAACAAATCAAAACAATCTTGTTATCCCTTTAATTTCATCTAGTTACTTTCTATTCATTTTAAATTAAATATCTTGGCCAGTTTTTATACTATAAAAGTTTTAAATCCATTACTTCGTTGAACCAAGGGATGGAGTAGGAAATACTTTGTATTTAAGTCTCCAATTTACACTAATTCTGGGTTTAATCTATTAGCGGTAAGAGAGAATGATGTTCTCTTTAAAAGTTTCGGGTTTGAGCAATTACGTTTGCAGGGTGTGTGTATGTTATTAATGGCTAATAAAGATTTTAAACGTATATTACTTTATAATCACCCAAATTATTAAAAAAATCATATGTAATTTTGAATAAATTTATAATTTATTGTAATTTAAAAATGTTAAACTTTAGGTCACCTTAAAATATTACAAAGTGATCATAGTTTAAATTTCGATCTTACCACTGTTTAGTTTCATCTCTTTCCTTTAAACTTAAATTTACAAAAAGTTGTGAAATTTATTGTTTGATTTGGTGATATGGAGAAATTTACTCATCAATTTTAGTAGGAGATTTGAGCCACAAGATTGATAAGGCAATGTTTAAGTATATGATTGTGTGAGTTTGAATAAAAAGAATGCATAATTAGACCTAACATTTACTAAAATGATCATTTTGCTCCTATTCAATTTTTCGAAACATTTTGGCCGTCAAAGTTTTGTTTGTGGATAAAAAACCCTAATATTTTTTTCAAAATAATTGTTTTGTCCCTTATTCTTTTTTCTAAAGCATTTTAGTCCTCAAAGTTTCATTTTAAGTTTAAAATGCCCTTATTTTGGAGCATTAATCGTGTGTTAACTAATGGTTTTCATCCATAGAGAGAGTTTTTTGTCCCAAAGTGAAATGTTGGGGGTTAAAATGCTCCAAAAAATAGGGGCCAAAATGATCATTTTGGTAAACGTTGGGGGCTATTTTTTGCATTATGCCTAAAAAGAAATACAAATGTTAAATTGTTCACTTTTGTAGATGGGTTAATTTATTCTTCGATGTATAATACAAGGACCTGTTAGACAATTTAAGAAAATTAAATGGTAGTATACGTTGTATTTAATATTGGGAATCAAAAGTCTTCTGACTCTTCTCTTATAAATTATAATAAATTCACTAATTTCAGATAAAAGCGTTAAAAATCAAGAATTGATTAATTGTAATTGGCTTGCAAGTTGATGTTAAACTATTGCTCCATTAGAGTTCACGGATGGAATCTTAGAGTTTGAGTATCAAGTATTGTTTTACTCGTAATTGTGTGTTCCATTGTCCATTTCCCTAAAATCGCTTGAAATCATACGGTAGATGTGACATAAATTTCATTATTCTATTAATATAATGTTTTTTTAATAGTTTATACGATTATAAAATAATATATATTCATAATTTTTTTTAATTATGGATTATTTTATCACGTCATTTTTAAAATTTAAATAATTATGTCAGTATATATATATTATTATATCAATATCATAAACCATTAAATTAACACAATTAACTACCAGATCGATATTATAACGATCACGGTAATTATTGTCTATCACAAAGTAAGTTTGAATAATGAAATTCAAATATTAAATTTATATATATATAATTAAAAAGTACAAAACAACATTACTTATTTAGTGTTTTTTTTTTTTTTTGTGTGAGAAAGCACTAATGCTGAAACTACGTGACTAGAGATCTAGGCAGCCTATCTTTTCCTAATCTATCTTCTACTATTTCTGGCGGTCGTGCGAAATAACAGAGTCCTTTCTGTAGTGACCATTGTCTCCGCAGCCTCGTTGGCAGCTCTTGGTGTAAATCTAACTGATGTCTCCCATTCGTGTTTACGTATTGAATCTATGTCGGAGTATGGTGAGGGAGTTGGTCTAGAAGACAAAAGTAGTGATAACCGATTGACTTAGTTTATATTTTTTTGGTAAAATTAATGATATCTAATCTATTGATCAATAAATTTAAATAAAATATTATAGAGGTGAAGATAATTCTCTCAATATAGTTTACTTCATTCACAAACATCAAAATTTAAACATCTAATCTTGCAAATAAGATATTTAATACCTCATCATAATTGATTTAACAGTCTTTAAATTGATTTAATCATCATAATCGAGTTACCCAAATTGAATTAACAAAAACTATTCATCAAATTAATTAAATTGATATGAACAACTTTTATCCCAATTTTCCATCAATAATGAATTGAGTTTGAAAAAAAAAATTCTTCATTTTCCTCATTGTCTTTGTACTTTATTACCGACATTTGCAATTCCTGGTTTTGCGCAGTAGGTGAAAGGTCTTTTACTCCTTTTTTCCGAAGTCTGAGGTAGCAATTGGACAACTTGTGTACAATTTGTCTTTTCAACATAATGGTACCAATTGTTGCTTGGAATTTTGTTTTGCTAATTATTAGGCAAAGGTATACACAAGACCGCCCAAACCTTATCTTAAACTACTTCGCCTTATATACCCTTCAATTAATATCAATGTTTAAAGGAAACGTCAAGATGTTTGATTTGAAAAAAAATTTGTTTTTTGTTTTTTTAGAAAATTATTTTTAATTTTAATTTTTTAAAAATTAGAAACTATATTTGATTAATATAAATGAAAACTTAAATTCCAAAATAAAATATTAAAAATATATTTGACATCTATTTTTTTAAAATAGAGATGAACAAATAGTTATTAAGTAATTAATTAATATATAATTATTACAAAAATATTACATAAATTGAACATATGAGTTATACAAATATAAAACAATAAAATTGATAAGAGTTTTAATAACATAAAAATTATTTTAATTTATAGTAAAAATATAATGTTAATATGTATTGAACATAAATTAAATTTAAAATATATTTAAAAATATTATTTTAAGCAAGAGCACATAAAAGTATCATTAAAATAAAAAAATGAGCTTAGAGGTATGTAATGTCCTCAATCTTTTGGGGGGGGGGGGAATTAATCTAACCCATGAAATTTGTTTGCACTAAATGTGACTATAAATACTTACATTACAGTTCACAAAGCTTATACAATCTACAATACTAATGTAAAAATACTCAATGGATTTTGATATGGTAGATGAGCTTATTTTTCACTAAATACGAGGGCCTAATTGAGTTTTTAGAAAACTTAAGGACTTATTTAATTATTTTGAGAAATTAAGAAATTATTTAAATTTAAATATAAAATATAAAAATTATTATGATATTCAATAAATTAAATATAAAAGTACTACAAAGTTAAATTTAAAGCTAAAAAGTGGTAACAACTCGATGCGGTCGAAAATATTATAAAAGCATAATATTTTAGGTTAGACATAATTTAAAAATAATTTGGGGGTAAGTACAAAGTAGTATATGTTCAAATATAACTATCCATCATTTGACATTAAATGCTTGTTCCCCTGAAATTCCTAATACTTGAACTCGATACCTCAAAGAATAACAATAATTCATTTATCACCGGATTATCGGGTTCGTTATGATAATATGGATTAAATAATTGCGAATTGACAATTGGGTTTTGATGCCTGACAGATTATCGTTTATTTTTGCTTGAAATTCTACTTTGGTAATCCTTTGCCATTCTTTTTTGTACATGCAAAACAGAGGGGGTAGTACAAACTTATTGAAAGTTCAAAGGACTTAGCAGATAATTATACAAAGTTACAAAACACACCATCTTTAATCACTTGCAGTTAATGGAAGGTAGCTTCAGATTCTTCCAATTCAATCCCTTCATCAGCAAGCCTCTTATCCTTGTACACATACCATTTAGCAAAAACCAGATAAATCCCCAGATTTAAACAACTCAAAATCGCCAAAAGCCAATAGAAATCATAGAGTCTCCCCTGGTTCAAATTGTCCGGCAGCCATGGACGGTTGTTCCCGGTCACCTTGTGAACTATAGTAACCAACAAAGAACTAACGAAAAACCCTAATGAAAGGGTACTCAAAAACAAACCAGTACTCATCGTCTTCATCCCTTTAGGACACTCCCTCAAGAAAAAGTCAAGCTGCCCTATGTAAGTGAAGGCTTCACCGGCCCCAACGAGCAAAAACTGAGGCACTAAACAGAAGACGCTTAATGGGATTTGAGCCGTGGGATTGTTTGTAAGTTCGTTCGAGCTCGCGACCCGCAGACGTTTTATCTCGGTTAATGCTGCTGCTACCATTGCTATAACGGATAGAACTAAACCGACGGCGATCCTTTGCAAAGGGGTTAAGCCTTGGGGGTTGTTTAGGACTTTTCTCGCTATCGGAATGATGAGCAGATCATAGAATGCAACCGTCAAGAGAATGCTTCCGACGAAGAAAACAGTAAGTGACGCCGGTGGAATTTGGAAATTTTTACTTATGTGACGGTCCATAGTGGTTGCTTGTGACACTGAAAAGGTTGTCATTTGGGCATATACGGTCCAAAATATCACGGTGGTTGCCCAAATGGGTAACATTCTTAGCACCAATTTCACTTCTTCAATATCTGTTACAGTAGCCAAGTTCCATTTGTTTGCCTCATTAACAGATGGGTCCTTGATTGCAGCCCTATCCAAAAAACTGTACACAATTCGAAGCCAACAAAAACAATTAGCTAATGATATTTTTCATTATTAAAATAGCAATGATATTATTAATTTTATTGATATATGCTTGATAAATTTTGATGAAAAATACAAATAGTATCAACCCCTTAAAAATACCAACGTAAGAAAACAAAATGTTGTTATCAACTTTTTGAATGATTACCTGCCAGAATTAATCACTTTATACGTTTAGAAAAATGTTATTAATACTTTTCTCCTCCACAAGATATCATTAAATGTCACTGTTTCTTGTGATTTAAGTTGGATTTCGATTCTTGAAGACTTTAAGCATTCTCATTCGTTTTTTATTATTATGAGAAAGTGTTTAAAAAACACAGAGATCTTATTTCTATTAATAGAGTGTTAGTTTTAAGACAAGATTGGGAGACAGTCTGGCTTAATGTTTTGTCTCCTCATATCTTATTTATTCTTTATTCACTATAAGTCCATCTCCATTCCCTTTTAATTACTAATTATTCGAATCATATATAATTATATATGCAATCTAATAATATATCATTTAAAATAAAATTAAAAGAATTTATTTTAAAGAATCTTAAATGATAGTTTAGATCTACTCCCGAAGATATATAGTATAAATTCATTGGATGTTTTTGTCTTTGAAATGTACCGAGGGCATGACACATGACAAATTGAAAATTACATGTCTGGTTTAATGAAGCTTAGATTTGAATCTGAGACTGAAAAACAAATAGAGGGTTGTCTTTCGGTTCATGAATTGGACTAATGATATAAATATCTCCGTATGGAGTGGGGTTAAGATTAGAGACGACATAGTTGTTTCCATGAAAAATTTAAATATTATATATTTTAAATTTTTATTTATAATTTTTTGTCTTCATAAATTTGTCATTGTCTAAAATATTAAAAGTTTATATATTATCATAAAAATTTATGTTCGTTTTTGAATAAGCTTATCCATTATATAATATGAAGATTCAATAATTCTACACTTTGGACCCACCAAGAAAGCCTAGTTAAATTGCCAGCCACCTAACCTTTTTTTTGTCGGGTGGGGGTGGGGGGACTCTAAGACGCAAGTGTGCTTGATTAACCATAGCAGTTTTGAATTTCAATCATATTCCATTATTTTGCAATTATTATATTATTGGGGAATTAACATCAATATTTGTGGTCCCATTTCCCTTGATTCTCGGATTACCACTACTTGATACATCATGCTACTCTATCCGTTAGATTATTTGTATCCCAAATTGATTCAATATTCAGCTTTTTTTAATATAAGATAATTATAAAATAATATATATTTTTTTAGTTATAATATACACATATTTTGTAGACGATGTTAATTGAATCCATTTAATGAAAGAATAATATTTCCTCTAACTATTAAAAACACGCAACAGTCAACATATTTGATTCAATATTCAACTTGCTTGGGATGCCTTTAGATGCATGGTGGGTTAATTAATAGTAATGTTTTATGTTTTACGTTAAAGGCTATTTGTTTGTATGGAAGAAAAAAAAGCTTAATAAAACTGATTAATTGTTCCCTTATACATACGTCAACATTTGTATATTCTCTTACAAGATTCTTTTCTTTTCTTCTTTTCCTCTTGATCATTCCACAATCATACTATTTTTTTTGTGTGGAAATTTTTCGGTTTAAACACACCTCAAGTCCTTATGCTAAAGTTAAGTTTGAGATTTAACCTTTGTACTTAAGCTAATAACCGTTTAATTTAAAATTATTAATCCATTCATTGATAATATTGCTGATTTCCATAAAAATACCAACATAACAAGTTGATTAAGGTATATGTGAACAACATGCCATATCGGTATTTTTTATGGAAATTGGTAAGGTCAACAACTATCAGACTACATTTTAAAACCAAATAGGAGGATTTAATTTTTATCGTTTTCGGCATAGGGGTAAAAATAAAAATTTTATAAAGTGTAGGGACTTTTTCAGATTTAGACTAATGGAATGGTTTCAAAATAGAAGACTAACCGGAACTGCTTGCTGTGGGACAATTTTTGCTTCTTGTTCTTCTTCAACCCCTCAGCTGCATCATCAAAGAGCAAGGAGGGATCCAATGGCAACTCCAAATTCCTCTTTTTCCAGGCAGCAACAAACACTGCTGCAATTTGTGTCAATGGGCTTCCCACCAATTTCTTGAAACGGTATCTCTTGGTACCGGACAGAAAGACCACCAACCCTATCACAATGGCACAAGCACAAATGCCATACCCCCATTCACGCCCCAAATTATCCTGGATGTAAACCAGAATGGTCACCGAACAAAGTGAACCTATGTTTATGAAGAAAAAGAACCAGTTGAAGAAATTCGTCATCTGCGATCTCTCCTCAGGGTCCGAGTCATCGAATTGATCGGACCCGAACCCGGACACGCTCGACTTCAGACCACCGGTGCCAAGGGCTGTGAGGTAAAGGGCTAAGTAGAGAATAGTGAGTTGTATGCCACTTGCTGGTGAGCAGATTGTGGTGCTGTCCCTGGTGCATTTGGCTGGCCTCAGCCCTGGGATTACTGTTGAGATTGTCAAGATTGTCACACCCTGCGAGTCCATTTAAGGACTAATTTAGAATCTTAATAGTTTTGGGACTTTTGTGTAATTAATCCTTATTTTTAAGATAGAAAAAAGGTTAAACTATACATTTAGTACCTCAATTAATACTTTTCTTCCGTTTTGGTAACTAAACTTTTTTTTTTCAAAATCATATATCTGTTTAGTTTAGATTTCATTTTGATATAGCAGTGATGTTGATGTATCATTACAAGATAATATCACACCATCATTGAAAAAAATAAAATATGTCATGTCAATAGTATTGTTATTTTTTAGTGGCATAATACCAAATAAAACTTAAACTAAATGTTATGTGTGATTATAAAAAAATTAAAGTATGTATCACAATGAAACAAAAGTAATAGTTTAAATACTAAACATATAGTTTACCTTAGTAGAAAAGACAAAGGAATCAAAAGCAGCGGTTACGCAAAGTCATGGGACGTTTCCGTTTAACGTATCAGTAATGATTTTTCAATGGAAGGGAAATGAATATATCTTACTGTTGCTTGAACGGTTGCGAAGATTCCGATGGTGAGATATCTTCGAATTGGAAGGACCGGAAAGATAAATATTAGAAACTGAACTGATCAGAAATGCATGGTAAAGTATACTAAACAAAATCATAGTAAAATTGAAGAGACCTGCCGAGGAACGTGTCGGCGATGAAACCGCCGAGGAGACAGAGCATGAACGATGTGCCGAGGAAGTTGGTGACGGTGGTGGCGGAGGTAGCATTGCCTAAATGCATGGTTGCCGTCAAATACGTCACCAAGTTAACAGCGATACCTAAAGTTGTTAGCCTCTCACATGCTTCAACACCTTAGAGATATTTCCGGTTTTATGTTTAGACCAAAACAAAACAAAACAAAATACTGAAAACAAGGAGAGATGAAGATGAAAGGGCGGACCTAAAATCATAGCGGCACTGGTCCAGCCACCGGAGTTGGAGCGCTCGGCAGGCTGACCCTTGTAGTCCCAGGCATCGGGGAGGGTTTTGCCTTGACTTAAAGGGAGGCTCATTGTTTTGATATAGTAGTGAAAATGGGTTGTAGATCCAAGTAGAGAAAAGAGAGTGGTGGTGGAACAATAAGAGCTCAGGCTGCTGGGTGTATTTATAGTGAGGAGGGAGAGTGAAAGAGGCTTAATTTATTTTTTAATAGTATATCTGATTATATAGTAATATATGTTTAGATATTTTTTAAATTTATTGATATTTAATGAGTCCGAAAGGGTTTTTATTTTATTAGACACGGGCTACAAACTATTCAAATTTGTTTTAATATAGTAATTTGTTCCGTACTAAGCAAAATTACCCTTTAATTATATATATATATATATATATATATATATGGTCCCATTTGGAATATAATAATAAACAATTATGTAAACTTATTGAATGAAAATGACTATTGTTTTTTCTAGAGGATTTTAAATCAAGTACTTGTATTGTAAGATGTATGTATATTGTCAATGGTTAAGAGAGATTTTAAACATATATTAAATTTTAATCAATTCATACCATTCAAAATAAATAAATAGTTACTTAAATTCTAGCGTAAACTACACGTTTAGATCCAACTTTTTTTTTTAAAATTATGCCTAACATTTAATTTCGGTCACCCATCGTTAAAAAATGAACGATAATGCTGATGTGTCACCGTAAGGTAATACTACATCAAAAGTTATGTTAATTTTCTAATTGTGAGTGACTAAAATGAAACCAAAATGTAATGTTAGGTATGATTTTAAAAAAAATTGAGTGACCAAAACAAAATGTCGTAACCGATTTTCGCGATACGACGAGTCTCAACTTATTTGAGAAAATTTTGATTTTTATAAAATAAATGTTTTGGAGTTGCCATTGACCTTTTGGCTTAGGTAGGTCGAATACCAATAAAACACCTTTTAAAAGAATTTTTAAGAAAATATCATTTTAAAGATGCACCAATCTATGTGTAGCCATAAATTCATTCTTTTTAATAATAAAAAGGGGTTAGGGTTGATTACGAGTGGAGAAGGATACACAGGCCCACAAAGCCCAAGATTGATACCTCATCGATTATATAATTGATTATGCTAGTTGCGTCATTTTGTCCGCATTCGATTAAAATACCAAGCTAAAAAATAGGGGCATGTTGCGATGTTCAAAAGGACCAAGGAATAAATAACATTTTGGTGGCTGAAACCTTAAGAAATAGGAAGCTAACCTGAACCAATTCATCAATTTGGATATTTATCAAAGAGCTATAACTCTGAAACATTAAAGAGCTATTGATACTTTTGATTTTGTGTGAATTCATGTTTATGATTTGATTCGATTGTGAACTTGAATTATGGGGCAATGTTTTACAAAATTCTTATATTCTTATTTTTCCCCTCCTAAAATAATAGAAATAATAACATTTTCAAACAGGACAGACTCAAATGTGAAAGGTACTTGAAGCTATTGAGGCTACTTTTGCCTCTATTGAAGAAAGAATAAACAATGCCAGAATAATGGGGCATTTCACATTCTTGAAAGCAAATAGTCTGAGTGATCAGGTAGAACTTGTGACATTGTCAGCAACCCGAGAAGAACATGGGGAATGGTCGATTCCAAGGACAATACCGAAAGACAAAAATGAGGCTTCATCCAGGAGATAAAACATAACTTATTCATGTTGCATGCATCTTAGACATACTTAAGAGCATCACGTTTATCATTTTTCACATACATAATTTTTTGTGCTTTAGAGTCAAGTTTCAACTTCAAGACGAAAGATACTTGATTCAAAAACAACTTCAAAAATTGATGGTGGTTTCTTAACTAAGCGATAAGGAGCTACACCTAAACCAACTTGACATATTGAAAGATCGACAGATCTTAGAATAAAATTCAGACGGGTTCGAGAGCCAATTCAGAACAGATCCAATTCAGCCTAACTCAACGGTGATTGGCTAGTTTCCAGTTAACGTTTTCAAGCCAGATTTCAACTTCACGACGGATGATATCCGGTTGACAGAATATACCACTTGGCTTTCCCGTGAAAGGGAGTCATTTAAAGAATTATGACCAGCTTAGACCCGTGAAGGGGAGCCATTATTCACTTAAAGGAACTGTTTACAGCAAAACTCAAGGCGAGAATGGCTATCTGTTAGCAAAGACCTTCGAGTTCGATTACATTCAACTCAAGTGCATATCAAATTTACAACATAACTCAAGTCGAGAAGGGCTAACTGTCAGCAAAAACCTTCGAGTTCGATTCCATTCAGCTCAAGGGCATATCAAATTTACAGCATAACTTAAGGCGAGAAGGGTTATATGTCAACAAAAACCTTCGAGTTCGATTTCATTCAGCTCAAGGGCATACCAAATTTACAACATAGCTTAAGGCGAGAAGGGTTATATGTCAACAAAAACCTTCTAGTTCGATTCCATTCAGCTCAAGAGCATATCAAACTTATAGCATAACTCAAGGCGAGAAGGGTTATCTTTCAATGAAGACCTTCGAGTTTGATTCCATTTAGCTCAATGGCATATCAAATTTACAGCATAGCTCAAGGCGAAAGGGCTATCTGTCAACAAAAACCTTCGATTTCGATTCCATTCAGCTCAAGGGCATATCAAATTTATAGCATAACTCAAGGCGAGAAGAGTTATTTGTCAATGAAGACTTTCGAGTTCGATTCCATTCAGTTCGAGGGGGTATCAACCGCATTGTAACAACGATGAACTACTTTCTGATTGAAGTTTAAATCAAGGTATTTAAGTCAAGAAGAAGACCTGGGTTAGTTGTGTTTTAGTGACAATAAACTATCTCTCAGTAGCATAGATTAAGTCGAGAAAAACTATTAGTCAACAAAAACTTTCGAGTTTGATTTTATTCAGCTCGAGGGCCTATCAACCACATGATAGTGTCAAGGAACTACTTTCTAGTCGAATTTTCAAACGGAGGTCTTTAAACCGAGAAAAAGACCAAGATTGACTACAATTTGGTAACAAGAAGCCACATTCCGATTCAAATTCCAAACTACGGTTTTAATTTCATGAAGAATGATATCATTTCAAGACTGACTCAACTTCGCGACGGATGAGTCATCTGCAACTCAATTTAACAGGGAGTTATTTCTAATTGCAATATCAGAGTCAATTTTCAACTCCACAAGGGAGGATAATAGACTCAGAAACCCCTTCATATCGAACGGAAATTTGTGTCCTTTAATCTTTGTCCTATTTTTTGTTACACAAAAAAATAACAAAGAGGGGCAACTCTAGATACACAATTTCATCTGGAGTTTTTTTTAAAAATAATATAATATAGTTTTTGAAAACATTTTTGAAAAAACGTATAACATATATTTTTTAAAACGGTTATTGAAAACATATAATATATAGTTTTTAAAAAATTGGTTTTTGAAAATATATAATATGGTTTTGAAAATACAATTTAAAAACATATATTATATAATTTTGAAAATATTTTTGAAAACATATATATTATATAGTCTTTGAAAACATTTTGAAAAAATACATATAATGTATAGTTGTTAAAAATGTTTTAAAAATATATATAATATATAATTTTGAAAATATTTTTGAAAATGTATATAATATATAGTTTTGAAAATATATTATATAGTTTTAAAAAACAAATTTTGAAATATATTATATAGTTTGAAAAATAGGTTTTGAAAACGTTTTTGGAGACATATTTTTGGTTATTATATTTATTATTATTATTTATTATATTTATTTATTATATATTATTATTCATTATATTTATTTATTATTTATTATTATTTCTTTTAGGGTCCAAAACAGTATAGGAGAGCTAAATCGGGCCTGAACTAGCCCATCAAAGGTCTAGGGTTTTCAAGTTTCAACCAAGGCGTCGCATAAATCAACAACAGAAAAGGGAGGCAGGCATATCAATATGGTCCGTTAGATCTGACCCAATCCAACGGCCAGGAAGGCCCCAGAACGTTCTAGAATACAGAATACCAAATCAAGAGTCACGTGTAGCGCGTTAAGCCACACGCCAGCAAGGTTCTAGTCACCGGCCGAAACGTCCAGCCACCGACCGAAACGTCCAGCCAAAGAACCCAAGACTGCACCATCCCTGGGTTTTCGGTCAACTCAAAACCACATGAACCATAAATGGCCTAGAAAATCGCGCAACCGTTGCAACAACCCACGTGAACCCCTGAAACGGCCATCGGTGGAGAGGATATAATTACCCCCACCGAAGCTGTTGATAACACGAAAGATACCAGTGAAGAACCCAGACAAACAAACTCACAACAACAACACAACATTCCATAACCAGAGAGCAACACATAAACATAAACGAAGCATCAAGCAAAAAAAACAATCGGTATACTACCAAGGAAATCATAAAATACCCAAATTGGAGCCTTGGATTTTTGCTAAAAAAACCGCCGGAGAAGCGAAAGTCGTTAGAGAGTCAAAGAGTCACCATCGGTTAAGGTAAAAAAACTGAAACTTTGGGCGTATATCTACACTTTTTAGGACTTTTTTACGGGATTTTAGGCTCGAATTTGGGCTCACTGGGTTGGGGAGAATATTTGGGTGAAGTTTGGTTTTTTTTTTTTCCAGCCTACAGAGTGTGGTAGGTCCTTCGGTCTTGGGTTAAGAGGTTTTCTGGAGAGTGAGAGTTTTTTTTGGTTTTGAATTAAAAATGAAGATATTTTTCAGTTTGGAAGTATAAATAGTCGAGAGACTTGTTTGTAATTACAAATTTCTTAAATTATTTCCACATTCCTCCTAGTTTTGAATTGTAATTCAATTCGACCACCTGTTGTAAATTTACCCTTAAATTTTGAATTTATTTAATTTAATCCTTGTTTATATTTTTTTATATTTTGCGAATTAACCCCCTAATTTTGCTTATTTCTCTTGCAATTCATTTTTAGCATTAATTTCAGTACATAAATTCCAATTTAATTTAATTTGATCCTTTGATTTTCATCTATTTATGTATTTTTTTTATTTTTTCTGTTATTTTGTATTTTTATTAATATTTATTTTCTTAACCTTTTTTATTTTTTATTTTTTATATATTTTTTTATTTCGCTTTTTTCATTTTAATAT